CATTGAACCGTCATGTTCTAACCATGTTTCCAACAATACCGGCAAGGCAACGACTTTTGACCAAGCCGACCTTGCCTAATAGTTTTCCCCGCAACAACACAATGTCAATGTGATTAGCTTAGACGAAGAAAGAAAAAAAACAACAACAACATGGAACTTGACATTTTAATTTAATAACATTTTTATTTCGGACGTGATTTGGGTAAAATGCGAGCATGACTGAACGTACGACATAATTTATAGTATTGTCTTCAAAGTTCGCGTCGCTTAGATTGTTTTGGCGCCGAATGCCGGATTTGTGAAATCATGCGTCTACAAACACACTGAAAACAACTCATCCGAATCAAATCGATATGAAATTAGAGTAAGTCAACACCCCCCCCCCCCAGTAAGCTTAAAGTACAATAATTACTGATATTAACACAATTTTTTTTTTCAACATAAACTTAAATTTTTGTCACGGTCACCGTATCAGATAAGATTATAGGTTTCACACCACAATTAGATGTTGTATCACCCAATATAATTCTCTCTATTTTGAAAACAGCATTTTTGCAAGGGATGGTAAGCTTGTATTCCAAACTTTTTTATTTGAATACATCAGAATGAGTAAGCCTTGAATTTGCGTTTGAATTTTTAGTGAAAAATAGCTGGGCACCTAAATCAAATATACATGTATTTTCTAGTGTCTTTTCTTGAATGGCGAACTGATACATTTAAAGTGACAATAACATTGTAGCTGAGTCGGATCTTTTTTTGGTAAAATTATCCGTTACTCGTTTAGACACTGATCACGTGCACCGCTCCGACAGGAGATATTACACTAAATTGAACAGATTTGTCTTCTTTCGACTTTTACGCGAATCGCGTAACCGAACACGTACTACTTTATATGTGAATGTGTGCGCAACGTTACTTATAAATGTGGTGAGTTGACAATACCGAATAGGACAAAATCTGCTTGTCCGACGTATCTCTTTAAGTTCCCAAATGCACACTCGTCATAGGTCATTGATAGAAAAACTACGTTTTCGTTTTATGATGACCAAATAAGGGGAAGACAATTATGCAAATCTTGAACTTAATGTATTTTGAGTAATATTTGTTGAACAAAGCATATTTTTGAGAAGATCACCCTTCATTTTACCACGTGTCCTTGAATCATGAGAACATTATTACTCCTTGTACAAAGACTTTTTTGAATATGTCACTTTGGATATAGTTATATCATTGTAGCCAACACAACGAACATTGTTTACCCGAATTTTAACAATTTTTTTCACATTTTTTCGTACACTGTTATGGAGTATGCGCCAATAAGCAAATCGCTAAATTATTAAATGTAACACACGTGACCGGGTATATATAATGTAAGAGAAAATACTCTGAAATGACTAATTTTCACTGGGTTTAAATTTCACTGATTTACCATTTTAGGCATATTCAGTGGGTTTTAAATTCACGGTTTCGTCATTTAGATAATGTGTTCTATGCTAAATTTTACTTATTCACTGGGTTTTAATTTAGCGCATTTTCCAGTCAGCAAAATACTAAGCTAAATTAAAACCCAGTGAATAATTACCCCCTTTACAGTAACTTGAAAATAACTTAAACCTAATTATACCGAAACGTCGGGAATTTTGGAGACCTACAAGAACTTTATTTTGATTTCAAGTTGAAAAACGATAGTACAAAGTTACTCGTAAATGATGCTCCTTGAACATCTGAAATATATATGAAGGACACTCTCTTTTGATGTACCTGTATAACATTCTATAAAGCATTCATCGGAATAGGATATAAA